TGTGTGTGTGTGTGTGTGTGTGTGTGTGTGTGTGTGTCCTACTGAGCTGGTCAAAGAGATGATGAGCTTGCTCCCTCCCACTGTGGAGGGTGTACCAACTTATTGCATGGGAAGGTATGCGCGTGTGTCTGAGCGTGCGCGTGTGTGTTTGTGTGGTAGGGTGCATGTGTGTGTGGGAGGGGGCAGGCAGTGGGATTGTCAGTGCTGTGCTGTTGTTGCCCGCCCCCCATCCACAGGTCTTGAAGCACAGTTAGGGGGAAGCAGAAGCAGCAGCTCTGATTTGCCCCAGCCCTATCCCCCACCCCCACTGCCGCTGCAGGAGAGGGGAGCAAAACGAGCTGCATCCGAGTTTCAGAAACCCCTTCAGATTCGCGACAAAACTTCTGGGGCCTGATCCCAAATAGAACCTGAGCTCAGGGGTGAAGATGTCCCCCTTCCAGGGGAGATGTCATGGGGAGTGGGGAGGAGGGAGAGAGAGAGCACCAATGTGGGAGGGTAAGGAGAAACGACAAGCTAGTTCCATTGGCATTGGGAGCTGCAAACTGAAGATGAGCTGTCCTTGCATACAATCTCTTTACACAGTGGAGAGCAGGATGTCGATTGTAAATGGACTGCAATTTTGAAAGGGATGAGGCTCCCCAGTGACGAGCTCTCCATTAACTAAGTACACTCACTGTCTGCTCCCCATCCAGCGGCCCATTAATAAGCTGCTGTCTAAAGATGCTCTGTGATGATTGACCAGGAGGGGCTCCCATGCCTGCTGCTGGTTCAGCTCCACAAGTTTAATGGGTCACCGCTATCTCCCCTTCTTTCTCTGATGTGACAGTAGCCATCAGAAACCACAGAAAGCAGGCAGGAGACATTCCACACTGACGCCACTGACCTGTACCCCCTCACCCAGAAAGAACAGTGAAACACCAGGAGACAGACTAACTGGGGAGGGAGGTTAGAGTCAGAGCCAAGGGGAATTGGCGAGGGAGGTGTACAGGAATGGAGCTGAACAGGGCTAGACTAACACAGAGGAATTGATGCGAGTCTTTAAGGAAAGCAGAAAGCTTTCACATGGGAGTGAGAAAAGACAGGCAGGAAGGCAGCGAGAGAAATGGACTGAGACAGAGATCTGGTTCCATTTAATTTAATTGCACACAGTATTTTAAAATGCACAGTCTCCACAACAACAGGAAAGGCAATGTCAAATCTTATAAACCCCACACAGGGGAAATCAGAAATATTGGGCTTCTGACTGAACATGACATTAAAGTGGCTCCTTGTCATCGCCTGCCAGAGACTGCTACTCCTGTGATCACCATCTACACCAGGCATACAAATCAACAACAGGACAGGGCAGGACGGCACTGTTGTGATGCACCACCTCCCTTCCCCCAGTCAACCAGTCACTGAGGCTACAAACAGACACAGGGGAAGGGGACTGACACCTATGAGACACAGACCTATAACGAGGCCGAGGAAGCAGCAAGGGCCAGACAATCTGGATTCTATCCTAGTCTGTTACTGGTTTCTCAGGCAAGGGGTGGGGAGGGACAAAGTGGGCAGTAAGGGGGAAGGTAGGAAAGACTGACTTTATAACTGCAGCAACAGCACAGGGTCAACGGGCCAAATGGACTCCCTTGGGAGTTCCCCAACATGGCAACATTTTGCCAGCTGCAGGTCTCCATTTGGACTTTAGCCTATTTTCCAGGCCCTGGCACCAGTCACACTGGGCATGGTTTGATTAAGCCTCAAGAGTTAGGGGGCAAGGCGACAGGGCAGCGATGAAGGGGAACAAGTACAATTTGGCCTCAGTACCCCTCTTTCCCATTCCTGACCTCTGCCCAGTATTTTCATGTGTTGCCAATATGGGGTGAGAACTATTACAATACACAGATACACCCTGCCCTTGTGTGGTCTCCCCAGTGGGACTGACCCAACCAACCCATGTTATCATTTTAAACACCTCAATCAGATCACCCAAACCTTCAAAAACACTCACAGCCACACTGTGTGTCTGTGGTCTCAATCTGCTCAGTCACTAGGGCTGAGTGACCTTATGATTTAATTCAATGACACTGATATCCTCCCAATTCAGTGGCGTCTGTGGGGTGGGGGAGAAAAACAACAGCGCCCCAATTGCCAGAGAACAACAGCGGGGCTAGCTCTGATGCTGGGAGGTCAGTTCTGCTCAGCTCCCACCCCCAACCTCATGGTTTGTCGCCATCATTTCAATCCATTCTGCCAGCTGACTCTGAATGCCTTGCACTATATCATGAGATATCTTATCAAAGAACTGCTAATAGTCTGTGTGAATCACATCCATTACATTGGCCTTGTCTACTCAGCTGCATCTTCAAAGAATTCGATAAGGGCACTTAAAAACACAAACATCTGCTCCGGAAATCTATGCTACTTATCCAAGCTACATTCCTTGTCTTAGGATGATTAATTATTAGATCTGGCAATGGAATCAATAGGCTTCTCACACTACTTGTATGCCATTACAATGTTCTATTATAGCACCGTTTCTCTTGCTGATGTTAAGCGAGGTGTCTACAGTACTATGAAAGAAACCAGACATCAGGTACAGGATTGGGGAGGTGGGGGTGTAAATTACTTGACAAGGCCAAAACCGGGAGGGAGCAGCTGGCGGTCCCTGGGACAGCAATGACAGGGCTACGTTACCTGACTAATAATCCAGAGACCCACAAGTTCAAATCCCACACTGGCAGTTTGAGATTTTGAATTTTGAATTTTAAAATCTGGAAATAGAAAGCTGGGATCAGCAAGAGTGAAGCTGCCAAAACAGTGTTAAAGGCTGAACAGGTTCCCAGATAAACAACTTGGTACTTATGTTCGAACTTTTAACAAAGTGAAAAGCAATCCCCATCAATTCACAGGAGCAAGGGCAGGCAAAGTAGTTTAACTCCAAGCCCCAAGGTCAGGGACAGCTTGGCCAAAGTGCTCAGTTTTACTGATCGTCTTAGAGGGGGCTGGGGGAGGGGGAGGGAGGTGGGGGCTGAAGGCACAGCCCCCTATACTGGAGCCGTGGGAATCTGATGCATGTCAGAGGGCAGAATCTGAGGAGCTGACAGAGACAGGGAAGGGGTTAGGGGCTGGAGGAGGTGACCTAGGCAGGGAGGGGGCTGGAGGCGGTGACGATAAAGTCAGGGAGAAATTCCTTTCGGGTTGAAACCTGGTGTGCTGGCTTGCCTCCATGTTTATTACGATTCTTGTCGTACATTTATCCTTTTGTTTGCATGTGACCAGGGGATGACACTGATGCCTGGGTTTCAGAGATATTCATGCCCAAAAGAAGAAAATACTACTTGCACAAATTCCAATGTCTAATGCAAAGCTGAAATGTGAAGGAAACTGTCTGAAAACGCTCGTGAGAAACATGTTAAAATACATTGGGTAAGAAGCTGAACATGGGCAGCAAGAGAATGTACAGACAATTTCCCAGATTACCAATCACTGTGTCATACAGAGCACAGACATTGCCTAAAGGCAGACACTGGGTCAATACTATTTGTCTTGCAGTCATCAGGAAAAGGAACACTGAAAGAAAAAGTAGAATACTGCAGAATCTGGAAATTGGAAACAGAAAGTGCTGGAGAAACTGTCTGGCAGCATCTGTGGAGACAGAAAAACAGTTATCGTTGGGGCTGATGTGTAGAATGCTCTTTTGCAAATCAGTCAAAGAAATTCCCTAATGCATTGCATCTTTCTCGTTGGGAAAAGGGGGTGATGGAGACTGCCAGTACTCCCATTATAACAGCCTATCCAGAGTCTCCTCACCTGTTCTGGCAGTTAACAGTTCCTGCTGCACCTCCATGCCAATGATTCCCAAATCAATCAGTACCGTTTCCTCATGCAGTATAAATTGGTGTGCTCATTCCAATCGATTTCTTGCATCCCAGTCCTGATGTATACAAGACAAAACGCATTAACTTCATGCATCCTTTTATCCATGTTTAATATCCCTGTCCCTAAATGTCAATACCAAAATGAAATCATTCTGCACCATTCAGAAATCCTACACTATTTCTCGATCTAGCTCTCAAGCACGCCATTACAGCACATCAAAGGCCAAAACGTGCCATGGCTCCAGGTCTCAAGCAAAGTGTCTGCCACGGGAGCGAGCCAGTGGCAGACGGGTGAGAATTCAGCGGGGTTACTGAGCCTGTGCCACAGCTTGCAGAGAATTCAGCTCCCCTGCTGGTGCTGCAGGCCCAGATCATAGCTACATGTTGTTCCGCACACTGCATTCAGTGCTCACTGTGCAGTGAGCTCTCTCCACAGCCCGACCACCCCAACTACACAAGCTCTCAGTGTTTGAGCAACCATACAAAAGAGGAATTGAATGTAACGGGCATAGCAAACATCATCTAGAGAACAACCAGCTCTTCAACTGGGTAAAGCTTCAACCCAAAATATCACAAGACGCTCGATAACTAACAACTGTCAGGTGTACACCTTCACCTCTGTGAAGGATCATTGACACCAAGCCAACCAACACTCACTCTCGGTCAGCAGGTTATCCTCAAAAGGAAGAACAGACTCTTCAGCTGCCCAGGTTAATGTTAAATGTGCAAAACAAAATCAAACATGGAAATCTGTTTAAACCATAAGTTTTGGAGCAACAAACATACACAGTTGCTTCCCTTTATTAACTAATCCAGAACAAAAAATATACAATAAAACCCATGATGCACTGTCAATCATTTGGCACGACCTTTAACCTCAGCAACAATCCCAGCTTCTGACTGGCTAACCAATAGGAAGTTATTGTGATTGGCCATGAAGCCTGTATGAATGTTTCGTGTCCTCTTGTCCATGAATAGCTGAAGCGAAGGCAGAGGAGGGAATGGGGTGGGGAGGGAGGCAGAGGAGGGAACGGCCTGGTGAAAGAGGAGGCAATGTGGCTCCTTCATGTTGTCAGTTACGTTGAAAGGCATTTTGTGCTGCTGCTCCAGCAGCAGCCCCAGCCGCGTTCCGCATGGCTGGGTTCGACATGACCCCGGCTGCCAACTCCTCTTGTGCCTTCTGGAAGCTGGCACCAGTCCTTCGGTAAAGGGAGTGGACCTGCAGCAAGGAAAGGGAAGACATTAGTAAGAGCCCCACACACCACCCAAGCGCTAGCTTGTCTGACTACTGCAATATTGTTAGCCCGGACACTCATGTGCCAGAAGAATGTAACGTCTGCATATTAAAGTTCGCTGAAATAAATGTCTGTTGGATTCTTCAATGCTGCAAGCTCATGCTCAGTTTCATTGTTATGGGGGAATAACAAACATTGTCACATCAGGTAAAACACACTGATGGAGAAAATCCCTCATTATGGAAGAAGCAGTGGCCATCTCTAAATGACTCCAATACCGTGGTGGCAGATATTTAGAAAACAAATTGATGACCAAACAGACAACAGCTTTGGACAACCGTAAGATACCCTGTTGGGATTCTTGTGGTGCAGTGGTAGTGTTCCAACCTCTGGGCCACAAGGTCTGGGTTCAAGTCCCACCTGCTCCAGAGGTGTCTATGTCTTGGTTAACACATTTAGTAAAAGTATCTCCAACGCCCTGTTGGAAGCAAATTCCCAGCACTTTGTACAGTTTGTCAATGTTGGATTGACGGATGTGCACACACTTCACTTTACTTCAGCTCTGGTTGGATCCTATCAGGAGTCGATGCTCAAGGAGCTGGGTATCTCAGGAAGGTGATCCTGACTTTGGAAGGGAAGCAGAACTCATTCAACACAACAAAGGGCTAGATTGTCAGGACGGAGGTTCCTCAGATTGGCCTTCTATTCCCTCATGTACAGAAGATTAATGGGGGACCAAAATCATTCAACAATTTGATAGGATCAATGGAGGGAAAGTACTCCCTCTGGTTTGAAGGGGAAAGAGTCCAGAACAAAAAAGGGTAGGGCCTTCAAACCAGAGCCAGCCTGTTCCCAGGTAATATCAGGAAGCAGTTCTGCAAATAAAGAGGAGTTGAAATCTGGAACTCTGCCCAATAAGAAAAAATGCTGTAACTGGAAATGGCGAGATTCACATCAATAGATTTATTTTTAAGGTAATGGGGAGGCAGAAACAAGATACTTATTAGGTATTCTCTCTCAGCTGTGGAATAGGCTAATAGATCTGAATGGCCTCCTCCTGTCCTTGGGTAACTAACATGAGGGGCTGAATGGCCTCTCCTCCTGTCCCTGGGTAACTAAACTGA